CAACAACAACAACAACAACAACCATCATCATCATAATCATCGTCATCATCATCAAAAGTTATTGGACAAGCTACAAATTCAAGAATTTTCTATTCAATAATTTTTGGATGCTAAGCAAAATTCCTATGCTAATTCAGAATCATTGCTGGACTGGATTGTGTTTATTATTATTATTGAGCTCTACATCCTTAACTTTTTGCAGAAGCTGGAAAAGAGCCACCAATGAAAAAGCAACAGCAAAACTGCTTTTGTAAACATTGTAGTGGAATTATGTAAGGATCACTGAAAGAGAATACTGTATCGAAATTCATATGAACTTTTTTAAATCTGTTCCTGAGCACATAGTTTGAGATTCGTAAACTAGGAAATGGATGAAACCTAAATATTTAGATTATACTAATACTTAAGATGTATACATAATCTACTCATAACTTTGACAGGAAGAGAAGCTAAGCATGTCTCCATCTAGTTATCCTTTGTAGTTCCTAGATTTCCTTACCTAGATCATCAGTCTTCCTTCCATGCCAACGTTTGGGATCCCGTACTGCCCTCTTGATTACATCAGGAGTATAAGAATCCTTCATCAAGCTTTTAGTTTCTAATGGTCCGCCTAAAGAAAGGATATTTGGACATTGTTCACTTCTGCTAAAATAATTTTTGCCCTGAATCACTGGAATCGACAGAGATTGAGGACAAACAGGAAAAAGTTAGTGATACTGAATTAACTTTTCAACAGTGACAGGTTTTTATATCTGATACTGACTATAATTTGGGGTTGGGTTCAAATCTATTCCTGGCAGAAATACTGTACTATTTTATATGATCATTTGCATATTAAGCAAAACAAAGAAACAACCTCAAAAAGCAACTTTAGTGTTTTGAATAACAACACTCATTGCTCCTTGCCACTGAGATAGTGACTGGCACAAGCAGAAGCCTGTGGGATGTCACGTTAATAACTCCCAGGCTACATTGAAGATGACGATTTGATCCCACAAGCAGAAAAATTAAAAGCAAAACAACTCTTTATTTGTGAAAATGATTCCTCTGAAGGAAGAAGGGGTCTCTTAAATTACCAGCACTAAATCATGCTATAATTACAGGCAGTCCTCAACCTGCAACCATTCATGTAATGACTGTTCAAAGCAGTGGTGGGTTCTGGATCCCGTTGCAACAGGTACGGTGTAATAGGGCTGGGTATCCACCACATGAACGCACCCAGTGTGCCCGCACTAAGTGCCTGATGGTGCCTGCTGGAAGCACTGGGTACCGTTCCGGTATGGTGCTTCGGAGTGCCCGCCCACCTGCCCGCGTTCCTTGCCAGTATTTGAGGTTTTTGGGGCTTCCGCACATGCACATGCAGCATACTTACCGCCCGCGATGCCTTCGCGATGCCTCAGCGAAGCTCCAGCTGCTCAGCAGAGCGTCACACAGGTGCCATATGCTCCATGTGCATGCACGGAAGCCCCAAAAACCTCCAATACCGGTAAGGAGAGCGGGCAGGTGGGGCCTCCGGTGCACTGTAGCGGAACGGTACCCAGTGCTCCCAGCAGGCACATGTAGACCTGTACTGGGGCGTACTGGTCGTAATCCACAACTGGTTCAAAGTTACAACAGCCTCAGAAAAGTGACTTATGAACTGTACTCACACTTATTACTGTTGTATCACCCCCACAGGTGATTGCAGTTTGGGTGCTTGGCATTTACATCTGGTTGCAATGTGTCTTGCAGTCACATAACCATGACCTGCATCCTTTTTGCCAAATTCCAGCAAAAAACACCCATTGGGAAAGTTGGATTTGCGTAGCAGCCACCCAATTTGCTATGTGGTTTTCTTTATAGCTACCATAAAAATTGTCTTAAAGTCGGTTCTGACTATTTATGACCAAAATTATTTACAATGGAAATTATGGTCCCAGTTGTGATCATAAGTTGAGGACTACCTGTAAGACCAAAACAGGAAGCACTGAGATTTGTCTAGCTCACCTTGGAAAATGTTGGATCTCAGATTATAACCCAGTTCATAATAATCAGCATAAGGTGAAGATGTCATAGGATTCTCAAGAGATTTGAATGGCCAGTCACTGAGTCTTTTCTGTCCTTGGATCAGTCCAGCTTCGCAAAGAGCACGCCGTGCCTGGAATATATATATATATGTGTGTGTGTGNCAGTGGTTAGGGTGCAGTACTGCAGGCCACTTCAGCTGACTGCTATCTGCAGTTCAGCGGTTCAAATCTCACCGGCTCAAGGTTGACTCAGCCTCATCCTTCCGAGGTGGGTGAAATGAGGACCCAGACTGTGGGGGGCGATATGTTGACTCTGTGAACCGCTTAGAGAGGGCTGAAAGCCCTATGAAGCGGTATATAAGTCTAACTGCTATTATTGCTAAAAGCCCTAATAGTTCTCCTAATGTGATTTCTCTTCTACTAGGTCAGTCCTAATAGCATTGCAGCCAAGGATGGACGGATTCGAGAAGGTGACCGCATTATCCAGGTGAACATTAAGGGAACTAATTTGGAGGGAGGGTGCTGTGGATTTTTAAAAGGGCAGCTTAATATAGCCCTCTCCAACTCATAGTAGACTATAACTCCCATCATACCCAGTCAGCACAACATTGGCTTGTTGGCTTGAAATGTTGCAGATCGTAATCCAAAATAAAACAAGAAGATTCAGTCTGGGGAGGCTGGCTGTACTCTCTTACTGATGTATTCATTCAGCCATCAACTTGTGCTTTTTTTTAAAATATATTTTCTTCACTTTTAGATTAATGGCATGGAGGTCCAAAACCGAGAGGAGGCTGTAGCAATTCTTACCCAGGAGGAGCGAACAAACATTTCTCTGCTGCTGGCTAGGCCTGAGACTGAGGTGGGAAGCGCTTAGATGCAGTTCACAGCTAAAAGAAATGGGGAAGTAAGGGAGCCGGGTAGTAACTCCGCTGGAGAACACATGCGGTGTATGCACAAGGTAGCCAGAGCTTAGAACACACATAGTCCTCCCTTAATATCCGTTCATTCAGCTACCATGATATTTGAAGTAACAATGCTACCAAATGAAGGGTACTTACAACAGTTCCTCAGAGTTTTGGCCATCCCCTGGTCACACAATCATGACAGCTGCTTTGGCTGTGTGGAACAGAGTGGCGTATGTGAGATCAAGAGCTCTTCAGAGTATAGTGAGGGAAGAAAAGAGTTTCTGTACACCTTCCCATTTGTTCACTTCTATGAGCTTGTCGATCAGAAAGGTCGGCAGTTTGGCGGTTCAAATCCCTAGTGTCGCATAACAGAGTGAGCTCCCGTTANGCTGAAAGCCCTATGAAGCGGTATATAAGTCTAATAAATAAATAAATAAATAGATTTGCTACACTGGGTGATCTTCGTTTCTTTCTGTCTTGCAGGAGGTGGAGCTGTACAAATCCAGTCACCGGGATAAGTTGGGCCTGATGGTTTGTTATCGAACTGACGATGAGGACGATGTAGGCATCTACGTTGGAGAGGTGAGGTCAGGGACAGTGTTCAAAGGGACGCGGTAGTTTAGGCTAAATGGGGGAAAGAGAGAGCTACATGTGGGGATTCAATGTATATGAGAACTGACGAGAGTTCCTGGTTTCGTGCTCTTGCTTCAACAGCAAGAAGTATTCATTTTCTGTAGGAGTTCCGTGTGTGTTTGTGTATGAAGGTGGTTACTATTGAGCAGAAGCTCAGACTCTTAAGTTGAGGTTCGGAGGAAATCTAAACTATTTTCATTGAGGAAGGAGAAATGTGTACATTTTGTAGAGGCTTCCTTCTTAATGAAATAGCAATTCCGTGTCTGTTCAGGATTACTAAATCCTAAAGAGCTGCAAAACCTCAGATGACCACTAGATGGCAGAAAGGAGACACAGACCATTGTAACCCTTTGCTGTCATTTAGTGGTCATTCTGATTAGTGCAACCCAGATTAATTACTTCAGTTTGGTTGGAGATTTTCTTTGGGATTATGACTTGTTTTCTCTTATTTTCCATGGGACCATCATGCAGTTGTTATTTCCAATCTTTAAAAAAAAAATCATATTATGGTTTTCAATGTCATCTCTAGTTTTGCCACAAATCAACATTCCAGGAACATTTTTTGATTGAAATCCAACAGCTATTCAATTTGTAGCATTCCATACCAGCAGCCTCATTGTAAATGGACATAAATCAATAAAAAAAATCAATACTCTTTGAAGTACCACAGTAGCATCTCTAGTGCACTGTGGAAATTTTTTTTCTTGCTTGTTTCCTCCAACAGTTGAACTTGATATAAATATATCTTTAGGATAGAGATTGGATTTGCAAGTCATTTATCTTCAAGGCACACATTGTCCCACCACATCCATACTGAGCATATGGCTTTGGGCTTAAACTGCCGTCAGCAGCTCCAATTACACTTTAAGCCCAAAACCCAGCCTGAAGATAGCGAGTGAGACCTCGCTGAAATGTTGCCAAGACAATCTCAATCTTACACGGGAAAAGACCCGAATACAACAAGACCAGCATATTATGTGTGTGTGTGTCTCATTTTTATTGATTATGTTTATATGAATAAAAGATAAACATGAAACATAAAGGAAAGCAAAGAAAAAAAAATAAAAAGATAAAAGATAAAATGGGAAGCCACTACAGATAAAGAAAATAAATAAATTGATAACTACCGAAGCAATGTGTGATCTTCATTACAGCCATTACAAACAACCATATTTCCTCTTCTCCCTCTCAAAGGTTACATTAAATGGCTGCTCTCTATCCTCTATTCATCCCACTTTAGTCAGGAATTTTTTTAAAAAAATTCCTCATTTCATTTTGTTTAATTTTCAGCCAAAAAGTCCATGAATGTTTCCATCTTTTATAATAGTACTATTGTTTTATCCCTGATCAAACAGGTCAATTTTGCCATTTCGACAAATTCTGCCATCTTCACAATTGTATTGTATTGTATTGTATTGTATATTGTATACAATTCTTCTGTTGTGAGTATTTCAGTATTTCTCCAATGTTGTGCATACAATAGTCTTTCTTCAGTTACCATATGCAAAACCAATCTTCTCTCAGTCTTTTCCAATTGGTCATCCATAACTCTCAATTAAAAAAATTAGTTTCATCGGAATATTGATCTTTAAAACATTTTGTATCATCATATGTATTTGTGTCCAGTATCCTTTTTCTTTTTCACATTCATTATGCATGGTAAGTTAAATGTTTTTTCACATTTCTCAAATTGACTAGAAGTACTTTTATATATTTTAGGAAATTTCTACGGAGTCCTATATCTGTACTACATCATTTTATAAAAATCCTCTTAAGCTATAACACACTGTGAATTTCAATTCTTTTAACCATATTCTCTCCCATTCATCCATCTATAAACTATAACCAACATTTTTAGCCCATATTATCATGAGTCTTTAACTTTAACTTCTATTTTAAACCTCAACAAAGTTTATACAGTTTAGCAATCACATATTCATCATTTGTATAAGTTTAATTTCAAATGCTGTCTTATATTGTTCAATTCCAGTTACCTTTCCATCTATATTCTTTTTCCCAATTGTGCATATGAAAATCATTGAAAATTAAATCATTCTGCAGTCATTTAACAAAATCAACTTATTCTCCTTCTTAAAATATTTAAATAATCTTCTTTTCCATTGAGGTATGTATTATTTATTTAGTTAGTTCAAAAGTACTTTGACAAACAATATTCCAAATTCAGCTATCCCCTTAGTTCATTTAAAACTTTCTTAGTTGGTACTCTTGGCAAATACTTTGCTATTAATTATTCTAAATTCCATATAATTATTTCTGTACTTTTTATTTTAATCCTTTGTGTTGGAGATACACTAACCAGGTAGTTTATGTATTCTGCTTTCAAGATATCTCTAGAATTTACAATCTCCTCCCCCCCCCCCATGTGCTCTAGAAAGTAGAGTTGGTGAACTCAATGTTCTTTAGCAGGCTCCACTTGAGACACTTGAGCTTGATCTGGAGCACAGGTGGGCATTCTCACAGCTTATTTTTGGCCACAAAAACTCTCTAGGTCTGGGCTCATTGTCTAGTTGACAATCTCTGCCTCAGATTGTCCCCATAATACGAAGGTGTGTTAGTCTGCCATTTCTCCATCGGGAACTCTCTGGAACCTGGATTTTCTCCTATTGTTTCTAACCTCATGTTGTGGGAAGTAAGCAGAGAGGTACCACAAGGTTCTGTCTTAGGCTCAATACTCTTCAATATTTTCATAAACGACTTCCATGAAGGAATAGAAGGAGAACTTACCAAATTTGCGGATGATACTAAGCTGACAGGAATAGCCAACACCCTAGATCAGTGGTCTCCAACCTTGGCAACTTTAAGACTTGTGGACTTCAACTCCTAGAGTTCCTCAGCCAGCAAAGCTGGCTGAGGAACTCTAGGAGTTGAAGTCCACAAGTCTTAAAGTTGCCAAGGTTGGAGACCACTGCCATAGATGATAGACTCAAGATCCAGATGGATCTTGACAAACTTGAACACTGGGGCCTATCTAACAAAATGACACTCAATGTACAGAAAAGTAAAGTTTTGCACTTAGGCAAGAAAAACCAAATGTAAACATATAGACTGGGTGAAACCAGGCTTAATAGCAGTAGCAATGAGAGGGATCTTGTCTTAGGGGACAACCAACTAAATATGAGCTAACAGTGTGCAACGGCAGCCAAAAAAAGCCAATGCAATCCTAAATTGCACCAGCAGAGGGATACAATTAAGATCAAGTGAGGTACTCTATAAAGTTTTAGAAAGACCACATCTAGAATACTGCATCCAGTTTTGATCACCACACTATAGAAAAAGATGTTGAGACTCTAGAAAGAGTGCAGAGAAGAGCAACCAAGATGATTAGGGGACTGGAAACTAAACCATACAATGAAAGGTTGCAGGAAGTGGGCATGGCTAGTGTAGTGAAGAGAAGGACCAGGGGAGACATGTTCCTATTTGAGGGGCTGCCACAGAGAGGAGGGGGTCAAAGTATTTTTCAAAGTACCTGAATTGCAAACAAGGAATAATGGGTGGAAACTGAACAAGGAGAGATTCAACCTGGAAATAAGGAGAAATTTTCTGACAGTAAGAGCAATCAATCAATGGAACAGAAGTTGTCTTCAGAAGCTGTGGGAGCTTCATCACTGGAAGCCTTCAAGAAGAGACTGGACTGCCATTTGTCAGAAATAGTTTGGGGTCTCGGTGGGTTGGACTAGATGACCTACAAGGTCCCTTCTAACTCTGTCTGTCAGGGTCCTCAGTTCTACACAATAAAAATAGAGGTATCAAGTAATAAGAACTAAGTCAAGTTAGAAAAAAAGGATCTTTGCCATTTGTTAGAATTGGGAGAGTTAGTTACGGGTTAAAAAAAGAGAGAAAGAAACGTGGCCTAATGGAGGATGCCAAGGCACCTGGAAGAATGCATAGGGCCACTTTCTATATTTATGATCCCTTATCTTTTGACCTGTTCTGGAAAGGAAAACTTACAGATAAAAGATCGATGTACTTCAAGGGACATTATCTTTTTTAAAACAGGGCACTTGGCCATGTTAGGATGCTGGGAGTTCCTTGGTTCTCTGCTCAGTACTTAAAATGGGGATTAGCTACCTATGGGCCTCTAGATGGGTATCTAGGTGTTGCTAGAAATGGACCATGGTGAAAAATTACATTTACATTACATTCCAGTAACACATGAACGGCTGCTGGCTACCCAGCCCAGATTCGAGGATAATCAGTTCTCACTGACTAACCTTACCAACCCACAGAAGAGCTGAGGTGGCGCAGTGGTTAGGGTGCAGTACTGCAGGCCACTTCAGCTGACTGCTATCTGCAGTTCAGCGGTTCAAATCTCACCGGCTCA